CAGAACAAAACACATACGATGCCCTGAGTCAACTCTACACATAAAGCCATTCTCATAAATCGAGCTCACATAAAACCTATTCTTACTATACGAACATACACTTGTCGCACAATCATGCACTTTTACAGCAACACACAGGGACCCAACAGATCAATAATGCGGAGAAATGTCACTAAAAAGTGACCGCAAACTACAAAGATGTGGAGTGTCAGATGACATTTTTGTTGATGACAGAATGAAAAACATGTTTTTATATCTTTCTGTTAGCTTTTCATTTCAATCAGAGCACATCTTCTGTAGGTCTTGCTTTAAAAAAAATAATGCCTGTAATAGCCTTCATGTATTACATGTAAATTTAAGACTGTACTGATTTGATCAAAAATAAGTTACAGGCATATATATAAATAACTTCTGAGGGCAAAGTACTGTTCATTTCACACATCCACTCCAAGATGACTAAATAGACCACAGGGAAAATGGGGGTGATGGAGGAAATCAAAGTGGGGTGAGGAACAAAAAGAAAGAAAGAAAGGCTGAGAGGTTGGAGGTTTATACAGGCTACATACATTTTGTAGCAAACTGAAAAGGCAAGACCTCCTCTCCCTGCTCTCCACAGTGAAACCCCTGTCTCACAACAGAGGACCAGATGGAACAATCATTGTTTGAATAAAAGGCTGCTCACAGCCACCACAAATGATCAACAAAACCCTGACACTCCTCCTCGCCCCACTCTCTGCCTCTCTGGATCAACAGGGAAGTCATGGGAACGCTTGCCAAATGGGCAAAGGGTGAACTAGCATGTGAGTGTCGAAAAGGTTAAAGAGTTGAGGATGAAGTTGTGCTTTAAGCAGAGGTCACTAGAATGGACTCTACACTTCCTCTCACATACGCATGCTTCTAGTCTTTTTCTTACTCCAAAAACATATATGTAATGAAAGACACCCGCAATTACTTCAAGTTCACAATTCACAAGCACTCCCAAAAAGTGAAGACGTTATTTGATTAAATAAATAAATATTTGTAACACTTTACAGAGATGACTAAATAGACCACAGGGAAAATGGGGGTGATGGAGGAAATCAAAGTGGGGTGAGGAACAAAAAGAAAGAAAGAAAGGCTGAGAGGTTGGAGGTTTATACAGGCTACATACATTTTGTAGCAAACTGAAAAGGCAAGACCTCCTCTCCCTGCTCTCCACAGTGAAACCCCTGTCTCACAACAGAGGACCAGATGGAACAATCATTGTTTGAATAAAAGGCTGCTCACAGCCACCACAAATGATCAACAAAACCCTGACACTCCTCCTCGCCCCACTCTCTGCCTCTCTGGATCAACAGGGAAGTCATGGGAACGCTTGCCAAATGGGCAAAGGGTGAACTAGCATGTGAGTGTCGAAAAGGTTAAAGAGTTGAGGATGAAGTTGTGCTTTAAGCAGAGGTCACTAGAATGGACTCGACACTTCCTCTCACATACGCATGCTTCTAGTCTTTTTCTTACTCCAAAAACATATATGTAATGAAAGACACCCGCAATTACTTCAAGTTCACAATTCACAAGCACTCCCAAAAAGTGAAGACGTTATTTGATTAAATAAATAAATATTTGTAACACTTTACAGAAAGGTTATATTGGATAACCTTAGTTAATGCTATGGCATCATAATAACAATGGGCAACAATTACAGCATAATTTTAAAATCTAGGTTAATGCTAATTTATGCATTATTGTTCATTTGTTTATTTCATGTTCATTCGTATTGCATTCAATAATGTTAATTTACACAACTTGAAAAATTAGTTTCTACAATGTTAGTTTGCGAGGCATGAACTAATGTTAACCAAGAATGAGTAATTATTCATTCTTTTGCTTTAAAATGATTGTTCACAGACACAGTAAGATAATAACGATAACAGAAAGACCACTCAAATTCCAATCCCTTAAGATATCCGTGTGTTTTAAGCAACAAATGACCTTGCTGTTCAGTATGCAATATTCAGTATGCTTTATTATTTTATTAATCAGACAGTAACAGAATAAGTTCACTGAAGAGATAAATATTGACCATATGTTACAGAACAAAATATTCATAAAACTTTTCTTAAAACCCAATGTATTGCACTGGAACCCATGCCTTCTGCTTTCTCCTTTTCAAAAACCTCTAATAAATTGTAGCCTCGAATTGCACTGCAACTCAAAAAACAAAAACAAAACAACAACAACCTAAAACAAGACACTAATTAGTATCAATGTCAGATCCTTTTCCCTGTAAATCAATGAAAGAAGTTCTTCCTCTTCTTACTGCCTTCATGCATCTCAGTGACGGCTAAAGAGCTTAAATGAGCAAGAAAATACACAGCAACAAAACACATTCAGAAATTCAAATTACACTCATTTTACATTGCTTTGTTCTTTGAAAGTAAAAGTAAGGAGATTTCCATATAAGAATGGAAAAATGTGAGATTTCTTGGAAAATCTCATCTCTTATGTAATAATGCAGTACAAAATTGAGTGTGTATTAATAATGTTGGTGGTGAAGTACTGAACATGGAATATACTTCAATAGGGTCTCCACTATATGAAGAAAAATAGGATATTAGAGAAAAGTAATTAATGGCAAAATAGTGCTTGCTGACAGTGTATCGCTGATGATGAGATGGGCTAAAATAAGCTATGGATTAAAAAACTTGGTTTTAATAAGATAATGGAAGGACATGTAATGTCCAGCCGTAAATAGCTGCTTGAGAAAACATGTAAGTATGAATTAATTATAATGAAGCACTATACAGAACCATAGTCATGATGATCTGTTGGCTGAATGAAAATAAATCATAGCAAAGAAGGGCGGAGTGTAATCGGATGCTGCCAGCATTGCTTACAATCTCCCCTGAACATGACGGAGTAAATGGATCAACACCAAAACAAAAGAACCATATCATTAAAGTCTGGGTGATCAAATCGTAAAACCCGACTAAATTCAAAGTGACAGTGGGCTAAGGCAGGGGCACAGACCTCACTTGCTCGTAGAGGTATTACAGCACTTAAATAAAAACTGGCCATTAAAATACCCACTTCACTGAGTTAATAGATGTGGACTGTTTCATGCAGTAGAACATCATCATGCCAGTCAAAAATACATATTGCTAATAGTCAGGTATGGAATTGTGAACATACACATATTTGCAAATCACTTAAGTAATTTAAGGCTGTTGTGTTTCTAAGGACTAAATAAAGTCCAAATCAATTAGAAGTTTTACAGAAAAAGATAAAAAAAACTGTTGAGTATTTTAGCAAGGCTCGAACATATTTTAAATAAGAAATAAAAAGTTGTAACAAACTGAATTTGTTATCTCATATTCTCAGTACAACTGCTTTCTAAGATTTAAGTGACAATAAAAATTGTTCTAACTACTACAGTACATGAGAAAAACTCTCCTCTAAGTGTTCTGAAATAAATTAAAACGTGTGGCAAATCTATGCCATCTGTCCTGTCTATTAGTCTGGCGAACTCTAGTTTTAGGATTATGATAATTACCAAGAAATTGAAAGCCTCAAAACTCACAAAATAGTCGCTTAATCCCTTTAGTCACTGTGAGAGGCACCTGTAGGCTGTTTATCTCAAACAGTAAAATTAAATGATCAACATTTCTATGTGAAGAAATCAAGTTGGCATGACAGTTTCAGCCCGTTTGCTAGCTTTGTTTTGTCCCAGACTGCATATGCATATCCCATGTCCTGGACCACAAAACCTTAAGTGTCAATTTTTCAAAATTGAGATTTATACATCATCTGAAAGTTGAATAAATAAGCTTTCAATTGATGTATGGTTTGTTAGGATAGGACAATATTTGGTCGAGATACAACTATTTAAAAATCTAGAATCTGAGGGTGCAAAAAAAATCTAAATACTGAGAAAATCGCCTTTAAAGTTGTCCAAATGAAGTTCTTAGCAATGCATACTACTAATCAAAAATTAAGTTTTGATACATTTACGGTAGGAAATTTACAAAATATCTTCATGGAACATGATCTTTACTTAATATCCTAATGATTTTTGGCATAAAAGAAAAATCTATAATTTTGACACACAATGTATTTTTGGCTATTGCTACAAATATACCCCAGCGACTTAAGACTGGTTTTGTGCTCCAGGGTCACATATGTGAACCGGTGTCTGTCTGCACTATATAAAACTGCTTTTTAATTACTGTAGTACAGGAGCTAATTAGTGACACCAATACTCAAAACCCAAATGTGTTCTTATCTTATACACATTACACAATCAGCCTTTACACTGAGGTCTCAGACGGAACATAAAAAGGATAGAATGAAAGGATAAAAAAAGAAACCATTTCCATGCATTATGGACAACAAACCCAATTTTTCTTACTAAAAAAAGTGCAAAAAAGTCTAAAACTCAAAGTCTTTTAGAATTTAAGAAAATTGATCATTAAGACGTATCACGTTTATTGAAAGAGTTCAGTGAGTTCAGAGTTTATGGCATATGATCTCATTCATCAAGGCTCCTGTCAAATAGCTGTCTGGGTAAAAGGCTGAGATGGATGGATAGTTTACTCAAACTTTCCGAAGTCTTTCCAAAGAATACAACTGAGAGTGCTGAAAATTTCTGACCGCACATGAAGAGCACTAAAGATGCTAGTGTGTTCATCCAAACAGTGTGTTACTAAATTACAATATGAATATGCATACATACTGTATAATGATATATAGTGGGTCATATCATTAATGAAGTAATAAGTCTTTAGAGAGAGAAGAGTTTCATTCTATGATGTAAATAATTGAAATAAGTCATAAATTACTAATATTATTAAATATGTATGCATTCCAGGCCTAATTAATTTCAATATATAACGATTTAGGAAAATAAATACAAGCATCCTAAAATCTTGAATCTGCATTAAGACATCAGCCCTAAAAAAAAAATGAAACAAAAACCCCTTACAGAGTGTGTTGTTTTATCACAAAGATTTAAGAAAAATGAGCTGAATTACAGAGAGACCTGTTCTCAACTCTCATAAACCAAAATCTAATTTACAGAGTTTTATAATACAAACATGACAACATCTTTTATAGCTACAAATTATATAAACATCTATTTACTTAAAAATATTGTAGGAAAGAAGCTATATTTTAGTACATCAATTATAAATCCAGAGTATAGAATAAAGAAGGCAATCAAAGCTACAGTGCAAACGCCTCTTAAACAGCATACATTTACAGTACCGAATGTTATTAACATGTTAATGTTAGAAACAGCACAGAAATCTATGAAAATGCAAAATCCTTCCAATAACACGCCTGAAAAATATCTAAATGGTTCTGATACTTCAAACCAAGACCCCAGAAAACATTCCTATCTTTGAACCAACCTGAACACTTTCAGTGCAGGGGAATCTAGAAAGTTACATTATACATTAACATAATATCATTTAATGGCTCTAATGTTATTAGGAAATAACTCCGCTCACCAAAATGTTGTTTCCGGTTCTGGTTCATGTTCTGGACCACTAACCAGATTAACGCTCAGCCATAACAGAGCAATACTAAACCTAGCTGTGGAGCCAGGGTCTACGGTAAACGCTCCAGGTACACTTATACAGACAGTGATAACTCTAGAGACAGACACAGCACTGTCCTCACCAGCCCGTGCATCTTTAAATCCTCACTGCATTTCATTGAACATTCAGCATTGTCAAACTAGAAAAGCAAGCTTGATGAGTGCAGTAACATAGAGGGAAATGCATTCTGTCGCATACATACAAACTCTAAGATGTTTTGGCAGTGCATTAAGTCCAACAGGTCATTCAGAGAATGATGACCAAAGCTTGGGACCTCTTCAGAGACGGTAAAGTGTGCGATCATCTCCCCCTCTCTGGGAATGTATCACCGCCGTGCAGTCATGAGAGCCTGCGATGGGTTTAGCGATACATTTTTGGTTACTGTTGTTTTGGCACAAAAAGGAGGACACCGGTTGAGGTGAAGGGTGAGAGGTTAAAGGTCAAACTGCAGTCTCCTGGTCCTCACGCTGGATCATTTGGTAGTGCTGGCGGTTCTCAAGATACGCCGCAAGTTCTGCATCTTTCGCCTTCTCGGCACGATGCTTTGGAGTGTCACCCTGAAAATGAAGACACGTATTATAACAAATGCTGAAGAGGTAAAAAGAAATATAATTTGACAATTTATAATTAAACCGCTCTCTGGTCCACTGAGACTCCAATTACAAATACAAAGTTCAAGAACAGGCTTCGTGAACTGAAGCAAAACACACAGAACATCTATGGTTGCGCCAGGCCTTAATTAGGGACCGTTTCTTTCAGACAAGTTCTTCATGACTCCATTAGAGTCTCTAATGGTAAACATGTTCTTTTTTTAGAAAACGCCTCTCTTTTTCTGTGTTGCCTGTGCCAGCATTGCTCAACAGTAATTGTTGTTAATTGCAGGCAGGCCTGGAGCAGAGAGTCTGAGAGAAAGGTCTGGACCGTTCCTGTTGGACAGAGCTCGGAGCACTCAAACTGTCCGCCAGGCGCTTTCATTGTTGTGGCACAGATGAAGCTGCTTTTGTTCAAGAGTGTACAGTACAACCGGCCACCAGCACCTTTTCATACTGCGCAACTTCTAGTGCGGTGCTGCATCCCTCCATTTTCAGCCTTTCATATGCAAACAAAGGCAATTCTGGAAAAGCTGTCAAAAGCTACAGAGTCCTGTAGCTAGCACTTAGCTTAGAATATTAGCCATGATGAACTAAAAGAGACGAGTTTCACAGGAGGAAAAAAAAAGCGTTGGGGTTAAGAGACTGATCTCTGCAGGGCATGCCCAACAGAAATATAATCACACTTTTATAGCGCTTTTAAAAACCAGCATTCATCCTCATACAAGTCACAAATGAGAGAGGGGAAAAATGATGGAAATGATAATGGGGATGCTCATTATATAAAGACAAAGATGGATAGACTGTAAAAGAGAAACAGAGGAAAGGAAGTGGGAGGAGGACTGTGCTTCATCACAGGGCAATGAACGATGAGTCACTATATCCTGGATTTGATGTTTTCTGGATTGGAAGAAACTAAGAGTGTGGGATCCTTAGATTTGATTTGAACAGAGGGAAAGCAGGGCAGAAAAGTACTGATGGAGCGGTTATGTGCAACAAACCACAGTCCAGGAAAATGGCACCGCTAAATCAGGTCTTGTTCAGATTGAGTATGTCAGGAGCACGGGAGTACAATCTCCCTGAAGAGGAGAAGATGAAAATCATGGGATATCCTCTGAAGAGAAAAATCTTCATATCGGTCTGCTCTCAGACCGTGTCAGACTGGTGATTTTACACATTTCATCTCCCTCAACAGCAACTCAGGAGACTCAATCAGTGCCATCTCACACATTTATCAGATGGGAGCTGGGAAAGGTCTGTTAGACTGCTGTGAGCTTTAGAGAAGACCGTTACACCGAGGCCCAGTGGTGCAAATGTACAAAACTACAGGAAAAAAGAGCGTGAGTAAGCGATAGAAAGTACTGCAGTTAGTTCTATCCACAAATTAGATTTTTGTGCTTTGTGGAAAATTATTCCCTAGGGAGTACAATCTCCCTGAAGAGGAGAAGATGAAAATCATGGGATATCCTCTGAAGAGAAAAATCTTCATATCGGTCTGCTCTCAGACCGTGTCAGACTGGTGATTTTACACATTTCATCTCCCTCAACAGCACACAAGTTACTGATAATTACATAGATAGAACTGAAGGCTGTCAGACAGACTAGAGTTCATTGGCACTCAGGAGACTCAATCAGTGCCATCTCACACATTTATCAGATGGGAGCTGGGAAAGGTCTGTTAGACTGCTGTGAGCTTTAGAGAAGACCGTTACACCGAGGCCCAGTGGTGCAAATGTACAAAACTACAGGAAAAAAAGAGCGTGAGTAAGCGATAGAAAGTACTGCAGTTAGTTCTATCCACAAATTAGATTTTTGTGCTTTGTGGAAAATTATTCCCTCACAGATCTCTTCAAATAAGTAGTTTTTAAATTGATGTTTCTTCTGAAAAGAAGAGAGGCAGTAATTAGAGTCTAGTGTGTCTAAAGCTGTGTGTAATTTTGCGGTACACCAATCAGAAGTGCGGCAGGAGAGCTCAAGTCTCTTGGCTGGATCTGTGGAGGTGAGCGGGGGAGAGGGTGGGCTGCTGGAAGAAAGAATGGTTCCTTGTTTCATGCGGAGGTCTTAGTCAGCACTGACTAACAGAGCAGTTGAGTACAGAGACGTTCAGGGATGGAGAACACCTGGAGGCTGCAGCCAAAATGAGAGAGATCCAAAAGCCACAAACGTCTACAGAGACCCGGCTTGGCATGAATCTGTATTCAGAACTTACCAAAATCATTCCTTCCTAAATTCTCAAATCAAGTACAAACATGGAATAAACTCTGACAGCATGTGTATCAAAACATACTCAAAACGCTAAGACATTATTTTTCATTGTGTTTTTGTCAGGAACAACGCCAGACCTGGTCATGAGGCTTCATTCTGTGCATGCAAGTGGACCACTATGAACATTAAAGGGATAGTTCACCCAAAAATGAAAATTCCTCATCATTTACTCACCCTCATGTTGTTCCAAACCCATAAGACTTTGGTTAATCTTTGAAACACAAATTAAGATATTTTTTTATGAAACCTGAGAGTTTTCTGTCCCTTCACTGAAAGTCTAAGTAACCAAAACTTAGATCCAAAAAGGGGGAAAAAAGGCATTGTAAAACGAATCCATATGAATCAAGTCATTTAATCCAAATCTTGTGAAGATATACCATCGCTTTTTGTGCTGAACAGATTTAATTTGGGCTTCTTTATATCTAAACAATACAAAAAATAAGCACTTTAATTTGTTTTCAAAGATCAACCTTTAACCAAGTCTTATGGGTTTGCAATGACACGAGGGTGATTAAATGATGACAGAATTTCCATTTTTGTGTGAACTACCCCTTTATTCCAGCATCAAACATGAACATGAACTATTTCTCTACATGTCTATCTCACCTGTAAGTCTGTCTTCATGAGCGATGCTCCCGCCTCCACTAGGTAATGACAGATTGTCCTCTGACACAACGAGGCTGCTTTGTGCAATACCGTCTCTCCACTGAATAAGAAAGAAAGAGACAGACAGAGAGGAAGCAAGAGATAGAGAAAGGGATAAATAGACAGAGAGGGCAGGAGGCAAAAAAAACACAAGACAAGCTGGAGGCTGTTAAAAATGAAACTCAAGATAATTCCTGAGAAAACCGGAGTGAGCCAGTCCTTACAACAGTATCATAAACTAGAACCTGAACTTTTACGGTCAACAGATAAAAATCACAAATGGCATCAAGTGTGCACTTACTTTTCTCTCTCCGTTACATCCAGGATATCGGTGGGTGCTGTAGAAAAAGAGGGGGGAAAAAAAATCAAACCTTGCAACCGCACTAAAGCATGTGCCCAGAGGTGATGGCGTGTTGCTTAATGAAAAGCTGTAAAAAGCTTGCGTGGGAGAGAGAGATGACCTGCTTCACCCTACACACACACACACACACACACACACTCTACAGATAACACAAAAAACAGCAAATGAAAGCAAACAATACCAGACAAAAGTTTGGACACACCTGAATGTGTTTCTTATGATAGAGACCTAAAAAAAATCAAACCTTGCAACCGCACTAAAGCATGTGCCCAGAGGTGATGGCGTGTTGCTTAATGAAGAGCTGTAAAAAGCTTGCGTGGGAGAGAGAGATGACCTGCTTCACCCTACACACACACACACACTCTACAGATAACACAAAAAACAGCAATTGAAAGCAAACAATACCAGACAAAAGTTTGGACACACCTGAATGTGTTTCTTATGATAGAGACCTGTTGATCTAAAGGACTGCAAGCTTGAAATTTGTTTTGTAGAAAAATATCGGTTATGTATGTCTAGTTTTTATTTTTTTTACACAAAGCCAAAACAATGTAGTATCTAACAAAATGTAGAATCTAGATGTAGAATATCCATTTATGCCATAGTTTTGATTTTCTTTTCCACATTTTAAAAAATTGCAAAGAATACGTAGGTGTGAACCAACTTTTACTGGCATTGTACAACAGATATTTAAAAAGAGAAGAAATTATTAGTTTAAAATGTTGAAAAAATTAAAACAAACAAACAAACAAAACATTATGACGTAAAATTGACATGACACTGCACTGCATTCATGGTAACCAAATCAACGTTTCACTTAAATTACTGTTAATAATATCATTTGTAACTAAGAAATTGTATTAAATTCAAAAAATGTAATATAGTTTTCACTAGAAGTCTTAGGCATTTCGACCCTCACAGTATTTGAGAATTGAGAGAGACAGAGACTGCTGACAATGAGAGCTTTACTTTACTCTTTCAAAGATCTACAGCACATACGCAGCTTTTAAATGGATCATTAAACAGAAAAAACAAGAGACTTACAGACATAAAAACTGCAAAGACAAAGTCATGTTGTCTATGCCAGTGGCTTTTGAGAGCTGTTACAGACATGTGTTATGTGATAATTTTACCATTATCAATGATGTATCTGACGATCTCCTTGCTTCCCACTTCCACAGCATAGTGGAGTAGGGTGCAGCCCACAGGGTCCAGCACACACAGGTCTGCCCCCTTCTTATGCAGCTCCTTCAACTGCAGAGAAAAACTGCCAGTCATACAAACAAACACTGAGATAAACGCATGCCAAACAATAGGAAACCAAAGAGAGCACCATTATGGCAAGTCACATGGTACCCTGATCTCTGAGCCTTATTAATTATTGCCAAATGAAGTCCCAAAAAGTACTGGTTTCCACAGAGTCATTCAAACAGAATCTAGTGATGGGCTCAGACGTGCTTAAGGAGAAAAGCACAAGTTTGGCTGGAGGCTGATAGCAAACATGCCAGTTACCGTCTCAATAGGTTCAAACAACCCTTCCATGCGACAAAGCCCAAAATCTGTCAGAAATTTGTCAGGACTCGTTTACACACCAGAGAGAGTTTGGGCATAGAATACTGGCATTAACACCAGTCCTAGGCTGTGAGTCTAGAAAGATTAGTATCATCAGAGGTTTTTTATTCACCAGCTTTCAATCTGGTAATTACAGACACACCTGAGTGTCTGTGTGAATGAGAGTCTGAATGTAGTTCTGCATATTTCATGCCAGTTTAAATGTCAGAGTTGACTGTTTATAGTTCTATGGTCCAGCTGTAAGGGCAGTGAAATGCTTATTTAAAGAAAACATATTGGGGCAGGAAAAGGATGCTGTGTGCTGTACACTGCCCATTGCAACATGCCAAATATCCTTATTAATACCTGAAATGTACCCTCGTCTCCTCTCTGTACCGAGGCATTACGAGTGGGGACAGGTTTTGGGCTGGGTGTGAGAGATTATCATTCTAGAGAAAGCCCATTTGGTCACCATAGAAACCAAGAACGAGTGAAAGGTCAATAGAATATGCAGGATCATTTATCTGGTTCCGCCTCCGCTTTACAAGATACTTGACATTTAATGGTGAGGTCAGTCCTGCGTTAGAGATGACAGAATATCCTATAGGCCAAGTGAACATTTAACTAAAAGCACATGGATCGCGCTCTCTTGCATATTAAATCACTGTAAAACACAACATCCGAGCTACCTACTCAAATATCTCAAATCTTAATAGGTGTATGCTCTTGCAAGCCAGTTTGTTAAAAAAAAGCCTCTGTTAAAAATCAACACCAAAATCTGAAAAACCTAGAAGGTAAAAAAAAAAATCAAGGTTACTGTATTTATGTGCTTAATGTATTCAAATGTTGCTCTTACCTTCTGATGGTCCTTCTTCTTAACACATTCAATTAGATTGTCAGCTGACACTGTTAGACAAACAAGAGTACTCTGTTAATGGAGATTCATGGGCATTTTTCTTTTTTTATAGTTTGTCAATTGATCTTGAACTTACTTTGATAATTTTTACTCGTTAGAGATGACAGAATATCCTATAGGCCAAGTGAACATTTAACTAAAAGCACATGGATCGCGCTCTCTTGCATATTAAATCACTGTAAAACACAACATCCGAGCTACCTACTCAAATATCTCAAATCTTAATAGGTGTATGCTCTTGCAAGCCAGTTTGTTAAAAAAAAGCCTCTGTTAAAAATCAACACCAAAATCTGAAAAACCTAGAAGGTAAAAAAAAAAATCAAGGTTACTGTATTTATGTGCTTAATGTATTCAAATGTTGCTCTTACCTTCTGATGGTCCTTCTTCTTAACACATTCAATTAGATTGTCAGCTGACACTGTTAGACAAACAAGAGTACTCTGTTAATGGAGATTCATGGGTATTTTTCTTTTTTTATAGTTTGTCAATTGATCTTGAACTTACTTTGATAATTTTTACTTAAATAATTACAAAGCAAACAATGTTTACCATGATTTAATGTGATTAAATGTGTGAAAAGAGTATGTCATCATCAACATCAAAAACAGAGGTAATGGATACTGAAACATTTTTTTTTCAATTTTTTTGCTGTTTTCACAGCTAAACTGGAGGAGTCCATTTTAATTGATCTTGAGCTTATTTTGATATGATTACTTAAGTGTAATTAAAGCAAAAACTGAGTTTACCCAGATGAAATGTGACCAGAACAGTAAGTATCATTAGCATAATAAAGTTAATTAAGACTGAAGCATAATTGTGCTGTTTTTGATAGCTAAACTGAATGAAGCCATTTTAAATTCTGATCCTGGATCTTACAGTGGGGAAATGTTTATTTGAGCTCCTAATGATTTTGTAAGTTTAGCCACTTACAAAGAAATGAAGGGTCTGTAATTTTTATGGTAGGTTTATTTTAACAGATAGATACAGAATATCAACCAAAAAATCCAGAAAAAAACACATTATATAAAGGTTAGAAATTGATTTGCATTTCAGTGAGTGAAATAAGTATTTGATCCCCAAGCAAAACAAGACTTAGTACTTGGTGCAGAAACCCTTGTTGAAAATAAAAATGACAGACCCTTTATTTCTTTGTAAGTGGGCAAACTTACAAAATCAGCAGGAGATCAAATAATTATTTTCCCCACTGTATTTTGATAACTTTACGTATGTGCAATTACAGCTAATTAAATTTTGACACACTAGTGGTTCAAACATAACTTGTAGAGGAATATTGTTTTGGTGACTTTGAGTTGTGCTTCAGCTCCACTATTTTGCACAGATGAATGAATACATAAGCACCATAATGTGCGAATGTCACTAACAACATCAAAACCTTACTCCAAAAATAAATAAATAAATACCTACATGCATAAAAGACAGATATCCAGAAAAAAAATTACAAGAAGGTACAGTAAGTAGCTTTTATTGTGCTGTTGTTTTGCCTTATTTAAAACAACCAATGTGCGAATGTCACTAACAACATCAAAACCTTACTCCAAAAATAAATAAATAAATACCTACATGCATAAAAGACAGATATCCAGAAAAAAAATGACAAGAAGGTACAGTAAGTAGCTTTTATTGTGCTGTTGTTTTGCCTTATTTAAAACAACCTTTTTTTTTTAAAGTTACAAAAGTTGGGCATTAGACATAGATTGCTATTTATATCAGATAAAGTAAACATGGAAACAATTACAGCTTGGCTAGTTAATTATAATAAGTAATTATAGGCAAATACCAAAGTTTAGAGATTGACATTTTTTATGAACCTAGTAAATGTGATGCTATGCAAACTAAACATATTTTTGAAAAGCCAAACCTTGTTGTTTTAAGTTTTATTACAGGCATTGCTTTTCCTTTCACTTGCAATTCATTTTCAGTTTGACGTTCATTGGTGCTGCTATGACACTTTCCACTGCATACAGCAGTAACCTGACCTTCTTTCCTTTATTTATGAATATGACAAACATGCACAGACAAATGATGGAAGCATGCAGTTTCCCGCTAAATCTAAAATGTCAATAATTTTTATAGGCTTACTGTAGAGAATCAGGGTAAGTTGTTGTAGTTTCCTCATGACAGTTGATGACTCCATTATTATTTAAAGGTATTATTATTCAGAAACTGCCTGCATGCACAAATCGCTTATGCATATCTGTTCAATATTAAGTTATTCAGAGTTACACAAGATGATGTTCTGTTTATTTAATACTTTGGGAGCAGACAGTTAAAAAGGGAGTAAAAATAAGATTTTAATTACGGGTGTTAATCACATTAGATGATGCTGGCTCTGAGGGTTCAGTTTCAATATGCTAAATCTGTGTTTAAAGCTTTGCAATGCCCTTTGTAGATTTGCCTTCCTAATCCAGCAATCTTTTGTGTTGCTTCACAAACCTCGAGAGGTAGAGCGCACTGCGTGGCTAAATCTACGCCTGTGTCTAAAGATATGCCCGCTCCAATCCAGCTTTCAAAACTCGGCCACTTTATGGAATTGAAGAGTCTTTTTTTCCTGTCTAGAGAAAGCATGTACAGGGCCAAATCAGGTTTTGGAAATGCGTTCCTCCTCTGCTCAAGCCAGGAAGCTTTGGAGCTAGTGCTGAATTCTAATGTGGATCAATGTGAGTGATGATAACCTGCTCTGCCTCGCCGCACCTCACAGACTGTGAGACAGTCCTTTCCTCCTCCTCTCTCTCTTCCTCCCCTACCAATGCCAAGAGAGCGGAAAACACCCCAGTTTTGGCACATGCCCTCTCCTGACAGGCAGCAGCTCATTAAAAAGGAACAAGAACGAAGATCAAGGAGCATTTAACACTCAACTTACATGTAATGAAAGTCAAAAACGATTCACTGAGCAAGAGCTGCTCCTCCACTACATGAAGATGTCCCAATTTGCTTCTCGCAGAGACCTGAGACGCCGTACAACTTTAACTTGTTCTCAACAAGAGAAGACTAAAATTCAGCCCTCATTGTGTTTCCATTTCCATTTATTAATTTTTTATTCAAAGAAACTTTGGATAAATTTCACTTGATGTTCATTCACTGAAGAGGTAAAAGCAAAATTAGAGCACTACTTAAACTCCTTACCAGAGTTCGCATTGATCAGGTTGTTCTTCTCAAACCTGTGGGAGAAACAGAAACATCTGAGTGAATGATACACTTCAAATCAACTGACACAAATCTTTTAGAGGACTTCTTCACAGCAAGTATCTGAAACTGAAGTTCTTGATGCACACACTGTGAAGCCCTTAATCTCAACTTGTTTGTTTGTTTGTTTATTTATATAGCACAGTTTAATGCAACACCAGGTTGCCCAAAGTGCTTCACCATATCACAATAAAATTACATAAAAACAAACATAGTCACAAATTACAACACAAATCACACAATTTAGAGTAACTAAACCTGCATCACAACAACTCCTCATTAGTCTTTAAAAGATCTGCTTTTAACACAGCTTTGAAAACTGGTAGTGAGTTAACAGATCTAATACTATGAGGGAGGTCATTCCACAGTTTTGGGCCAGCTCGCGAAAAGGCTCCATCTCCCCTGTGTTTGTATTTTGTCCTAATAACACAAAGGAGGTGTTGATTTTGTAGAGGTCAAACGATAGCCGTAATGGCTTTTTCCAAATGAGTGGTAGATAAAAAAACGGTTTCGTCTTCGCTTACAGACATAAATGAAAAAAAAAAACAAGATCTCACCACTGTGTTTATTTGCCTGTCCATCTTTAGTTCACCATCCAAAACGAAGCCCAAGTCTTTCACATGGGTTTTCATAAAGCCAGACAGGTGCGTTGAATTTAAACACTGAGTCACTTCTTGATTCTTAGGGCCAAAAACAACAACCTCAGTTTTATTTTCATTAAGCAACAAAAAATTTGCAGCCATCCAGTCCTTTACCTCCTGTAAACAAGATACTAACACCTTTATGGAATCTGGGTTTGACTCTCTCACGGGTAGATAAATCTGAGTATCATCTGCATAGCAGTGGTATGATACTTTGTTTTTGAAATATAGCCCCCAAAGGTAGCATATAGAGGGAAAACAGCAACGGCGCCAAAATTGACCCTTGTGGAATTCCCCAAGGAAGATGTAATCTTGAAGAATTACAGTTCCCAACTCTCACTGAAAAAGACCTATCCGTAAGATAAGATTCAAACCATTTCAGCACATTGCCTTTTAGG